AAGCGCAGGCCCGGGGAGCCTTAGGGCTTCCCGCCCGCGGCCGGGCGGGGCAAGAGGAGCGCGGGGACCGAGTTTGAAAGCGCGTCCTCGCCACGCTCCTGGACTCCTCGCGGCGCTCCAGGAAGTGGGGCGCCGGGCTGCCAATCGCGGGGGGAAGGGTGGAGTTGGGACCGCAGGGGCGAGGCGACAGCTTCCTTGGCAACCAGAGCTTGCGCTTCGAGGCGGGAGGGATTGACCGCTGCAGGTGCCCAGAGCCCACCACCCGAGGGGGCCTCCGAGGCCCCAGAGGCAGAGGGGTGACCGGCGAGAGGGCCCCGCGGGACGCCCAACCCAAGTCCCGCTAGAGCCCCGTTCAGGGTCCGGCACCTCCCGCCCGGAGCGGGACCGCAGGGTCCGGGGAACAGGGGGTCCCGTCCCGCCCGCAGACTCGGGAGGCCGGACCTCCCGGCTCTGGCCCGGGCTGCGCGCCTTTCACCGCCCCGTCTCCCGGGCCCGAAGCCCAGGCCCAGCGCCCCTTCATCTCGTCCCTGCATTTCTGTTTCCCTAACCTCCCTGCGCCCCACTACCCGGCACGGTGTGGAGTGCCCTGAGCCCTGGGCGGGCCTGGGTCCCGACCCGCGCGGCCCGCAGCACAGGGGCGGCCCGGCCCGGCGCCGGCCACATCCCACCGGCTGCCCGGCTGCGGGGGTGAGGGACTGGCCCCCAGAACGTGGGGGCCCAGCTGTCCGAGGTGGCAGAGTCGGATCTTGAAAGCACTTGTTTTCCTTGAGTAAACAGAATGAGGTCAGGGGTCATCACAAGGGGCCGAAAAGGGCCTTTGCTTCTTGACCTTGTTCTCAAAACCCCGCTATGAGATTCTTCCAGACTTTCAAGGGGACAGATTTTACTGGTTGAAAACAAAATGAACATTGCTGAGGAAAATTACTAAGCCAGGAAATACTTCCAGTTAGGAAGTACTTGTGCGGTCGTCCCACCTCCCAGCACAGGCCAGGGCGCTGACTTGTATTGAAAAGAGAAGTCCTCTGTGGAAAGATATAATTGGTCAGTGGGGGAAGGAGACCCCCCCACACACAGAGAGACAGAGAGACAGAGAGACGGAGAGACAGAGAGAGACAGAGAGACAGAGAGAGAGGGGAGGGAGGGAGGGAGTAGAGAACCTGCAGCTGCAATCTGGAATGACCCTGTATAGGTCTAATTTGGGATGGTGGGACAGTTACAGAAAAAAGCAGCCAAAGGAAGCAGTTGTCTGTCTGAGGAGCCTGAAGTGAGGGTGATTAAGTAGAAAAAGCCAAAAAGAAATTCTCTAAAATAACCACTCAAGAGGTTGCTTGTCAGGAGGAGAATTATCAACAGACTTTGACTTATGACAAAGCTGGCAGAGTTTACTGAACATCACGGAGAATCTCCTTAAAGACAGTATGACTTTATAGATTAAGTTGGAGGCGGTAAAGAGAGGTGAAGAGGAACACTTAGCTAGTAGCTGATGGAAGACCTTACAATTCTCTACCCTCTGACAAATATTAAAAGGCGATTTTCTTCCCTTTTACCATCTAACCTGTGTGTATATCCGAGTGCTTATATAGATGTTTATGTTTGTTCAGGAAGCAGGTACCCTAAAAGTATAAATGGCAAATTGGCTGATCGCAGTCCACCACTTTACCAGAGGTAGCCAGCAAATGCACGTTTAGTAAGGTAGAGTGGCCAGTGTTCAGATTACCTGCAGAGAGAAATAATTCATCTTCAACTTTCTCTATTGGAATTAACTTTTGGTACAGAGAAAGGTGGCTTGTGGGGCTGTAGGGACCAATTTTAGAAATTTACTGATCTGGGGCCTTATGTTTTGTTCAGTTTTGGAAATCAATATAGAACAGAATTGATTATGTAAATAGTTCATTCTTACCAATTTTATTTTAACACAGAACCCTAATTAATCCTGACTTCTAATAACTTCCTCCCAACAGATATAGTTTGCTCAGACTTTCAAAATTTTAGTTTGAGAACAAGTTATTGTGCAAGGTTAAGACTAAGGTGTCGATTTCTCAGTAGTAAATGAAAGCATTACTTAGGGGCTTCATCAAAGTTACTTGTTCGTGAACTTTGAAGCTTGGTGAGTTTCTTGTAGAGCTTTGCTTCTTTTCAAATGTGGAAGAAATGAATCCTTAAGACACAATGGAGTCATAATTCCAAGTCATAATGCACCCTGCTTGATAGATATCCTTTATGTAAGTGGCAGTTAGTAATGTCAGATATCATCATTTGTTAGATTTGGTGACAACTCAAAGCATTGATTAAATTATAATGCTAATGGTATATTTTGTCTGTGTAAAGTATTCATCCCAAAATATACAATATGAAATATAAATTATCTCAAATTCAAAATTAAGGAAGAAACAAAAAAATTTTCTTTATCACTTTATAAACCCTTGTGCTGGGAAATCTTTGTTACACATGAAGTTTATAATTTTAAGNAGAGGTGAAGAGGAACACTTAGCTAGTAGCTGATGGAAGACCTTACAATTCTCTACCCTCTGACAAATATTAAAAGGCGATTTTCTTCCCTTTTACCATCTAACCTGTGTGTATATCCGAGTGCTTATATAGATGTTTATGTTTGTTCAGGAAGCAGGTACCCTAAAAGTATAAATGGCAAATTGGCTGATCGCAGTCCACCACTTTACCAGAGGTAGCCAGCAAATGCACGTTTAGTAAGGTAGAGTGGCCAGTGTTCAGATTACCTGCAGAGAGAAATAATTCATCTTCAACTTTCTCTATTGGAATTAACTTTTGGTACAGAGAAAGGTGGCTTGTGGGGCTGTAGGGACCAATTTTAGAAATTTACTGATCTGGGGCCTTATGTTTTGTTCAGTTTTGGAAATCAATATAGAACAGAATTGATTATGTAAATAGTTCATTCTTACCAATTTTATTTTAACACAGAACCCTAATTAATCCTGACTTCTAATAACTTCCTCCCAACAGATATAGTTTGCTCAGACTTTCAAAATTTTAGTTTGAGAACAAGTTATTGTGCAAGGTTAAGACTAAGGTGTCGATTTCTCAGTAGTAAATGAAAGCATTACTTAGGGGCTTCATCAAAGTTACTTGTTCGTGAACTTTGAAGCTTGGTGAGTTTCTTGTAGAGCTTTGCTTCTTTTCAAATGTGGAAGAAATGAATCCTTAAGACACAATGGAGTCATAATTCCAAGTCATAATGCACCCTGCTTGATAGATATCCTTTATGTAAGTGGCAGTTAGTAATGTCAGATATCATCATTTGTTAGATTTGGTGACAACTCAAAGCATTGATTAAATTATAATGCTAATGGTATATTTTGTCTGTGTAAAGTATTCATCCCAAAATATACAATATGAAATATAAATTATCTCAAATTCAAAATTAAGGAAGAAACAAAAAAATTTTCTTTATCACTTTATAAACCCTTGTGCTGGGAAATCTTTGTTACACATGAAGTTTATAATTTTAAGGAATTGTGACTCACTTTCTCAC